ACGGACTCTAGCCATTTCGTACTCAACCCCAAACTAAAATTCGGAATAGAAAAAAAAGAACTACTTAGCATGAGTGAACGAACTCCGGCCCACGCCCAAAACTTCATTCATCAGAAATTAAAACGAGAATAACTTGTTCCGCGCGGAGGGATACAAAGGAGGGAAAATACGAGAAGCGAAAAAAAAAATTGTCGGGGAGGAAGGAAGTGTCGCCAAGACAAAAATCTCGAAAGAAAACGCGCATTCGGAAAACGACAAAAAAAAAATTAAAAAAAGAAAAGAAGCCAACTCATTGTATCTTTTTTTTTTTCAAAAGAAATGTTAACCGCCGTGAGAAAATGATGGCTATCGAGGGAGGGGGGGGGGGGGGGTACAGGAAGAGGTAAGGCGGGGGGGAGAGGGTGGGGTTCGCTTGCGTGAAACGGTGACATAGAATTAATTAATTTTATTTTTTTAATATCTCGAAAACGGCGGGCAAACATAATACAGAAAATTATTTGGTTACAAGTTACAAAAACAAATCCTACCTGCACCCCCTAAAAAAGAAAGAAAGATAAAAAAGACTTTAACCGCGAAGACCAACAAAAATAAAGAAGAATCGATTAAATACTCCAAAAAGATACGCCAACCCCACTGATACACGCGATATGAAAAGAGAATAAGAATAAAAAAAGAAAAAAAAAATCCCAAGCCTAAAATGGACGGCCGCGCTTGCCTTCCTGCCTGCCCGCCTGCCTTGCATGACGTGCCTGCAACAGGAAGATGGGGAACGAAGGAGAGAGAGCTCTTCAAGATGGACGTCCGCTGGCTATTGGCTGCGAGAAAATGCTTCGGATGGCAACGAAGGCCTCATAACCGTTTTTTTTTTTTTTTTTTTTTTTTTGCGGGTTTCCTTTGCTCGAGATCCTGTACGTCGCGCCAGTAGATGAGGGAGATCTATTGCGAAGAAGGCGTGAAAGGAGGAGAGAACGAAAGATGAGAAGGAGAGAGACGAGAAGAAAATGGCTTTTTGAGTCTTTCTTGTGGCTTTCCTTCCTTCGAAAGATCTTGCAACAGGAACAACGAAGGGAGGAACAAGAAACACACGCATATGCATAGTCGTGTGTTTTCTTGTTCCTCCCTTCGTTGTTCCTGTTGCAATTTGTTCGTCATGAATTCCACACATGAAAGATCATCCTATTGCGAAGAAGGCGTGAAAGGAGGAGAGAACGAAAGATGAAAAGGAGAAAGACGGGAAGAAAATGGCTTCTTGTGGCTTTCTTGTGGCTTTCCTTCCTTCGAGATCCTCTACAACGAATGTAGAAGAAAGAGAAGGTGGACAAGAAGGAGAAGATAACCAAGAAGA